AGGGTGTGAGTACAATGGTTCATTTATGCCATCATGTCAATTATCAAGAACATTACGTTGTATATTTTCAGTCGTGCAAATGGGCTCTTGGTTGACCCCTTGTTCTGAGTTTTGATGTGGTTTGGCTCTTTGGTTTGAAAAGGTTGCCGACCCCTGCACTAGAGCTGAGTGCAAGAGCCTCTACAGCTTGAGATGTGAAGTCAGCTGGCTCAGCAACGGCTGTAGAGGAAATTCTTCTCTCGCTCTCTGTAAGTGGTCTCAGTGCCACCACACAGGACAGAAGGGGTGGGGGAGGCTGTCTAGGTACTGAAACCTTTTGCTCCCTGGAGGTACTGACATTTACAGCCTTGGCGAGGTTTGCTGAGTTAGATGCCTTGGAACCTTTTCGTTCAAGAAACTCACAGGCCAACACCAGCCACAGAGCTAACAAACCCAGCTGCAGCAGGTAACCATGATGCTTTTGGTCACGCAAAGTATATCCAAGAATTCCCTCTATTTTTTTCCATCCACGTGCAGAACAAATGTTATGTGCCCAAAGGCACATGTAGATGTGCCGTACCATTAGAAACACATGCAGCCAGCTGTAGGTGCTCTGTTAATTGGCTGGACATATCTACACAGGGGGGGAAAATGTGTTCTTAATGCAAGTTATTTAATTCAGGTTAAAAAAAAAAGCAAAGACACCGCAATCCAGCTTTTAACTGGAGTTAATAGCTTGAGGTTGCAGTTGAAATAGAGCTGCTAACCAGAGTCAACCTCATCTTCTCGGTTATTTTAACCTGAGATAAGAACCCACTTCTCCCCCACTTCCCCCCAGTGTAGACACAATCAGATGCCAGTTCCAGCTGAGGCAGAGAGCAGCAAACGGTGACAGCTGGTCAGTGGCAGAGACAGGAACAGAATCCAGGAGTCCCTAGCATCCCAGTCCTGTCTTGTAATCATGGGAGAACACTTCCCTCCTAGTTTTGATATGTTAAGCAGTAAAGGCAATACCCTTTAATTAACATTTTCTATATCCTATTTGTCTAGAGTCAAAAATCCAGACCAACCATGGTCCACAGCTATAGCATCTTGGACTGAAACCCTTTATACTAAGTAATGCAAGACATTTAAGGAGAGAAAATGAAAGGGGGTGTGTGTTTCAATTCAAACTCACTGGATAAGTCCAAAGGCCTCAGCTGACCTTGGACAAATACTGAAATTTCTATCAAGTATGCTGCTTGAGTGATCTAAGGGATTATTTGCATGCAAAAAAAATCTAATTAAAGCGCTGCTGGGAAAAGTCAGGCTCCCGATCCCTGCATATAGATGCCATTTGAGCCAAAGGCAGGTTGACACTGCTGTACTTTCACAAGCACTGGGGACCGTAGGCCTTTGAGCAGCTCTTAGAATGAGCTCATGTTAGACCATCCATTATCACAGAGACCCTGGGAGAGCTCCAGCGGGTCAGCATTGTTTCCAAAAAAAGGACTGTGACAACATCCTTCTCCTACGAACCCTGGGACTAAGGGATCTGCGCGTTACACTGAAATGTATGTATGTTTCAGGGGCAGATATTGAGGGAGGCGTCGCGGTGAAGAGCTAAACCACAGTAGAAGCCTAAAGTCTCTTGGGACGGAGGAGGAAATGGGCATTATTTGTGTATCACTGCACAATGCTATTCTATAGTTGTCACAGCTCTGCCATTGCTTTGCTGAGAAGCCTTGGCTAATCTCCGATGCTGGAACCTGGGCTGCTCTCTAGGCTGTAAACCAGTGGTGGGCAACAGCAGCCCATTGGGGTTGTGTGTGTGGCCTGGAGATGAATTTACCCTTGCTCACACACAGAGTGGCCAGATGCTACAGGTTTCCTTCTGTGTCTTTTTTCCCTACCAGTATTACGAATGTGAGGTGCGTGTTGAGTGCACACAACAGGGACAGAGAGCCATGCGCTCCCTCCGCATCCAATCAAAGCCCTGCTATGTTTCAGTTGTCACAGCTGCAAATTCTAGGCATTCGAGTGCAGCTGGCAACACTACCCTCTCCTGGGAAGCCATCTTGGTTATGACAATCTTCTTGCAGCCCCCTAAGGCGAAGGAGGGCCACTCATGTGGCTCATTCATTGGCCTAGGTTGCCCATTGCTGTTGTAAACACTTTAGGGCAGGGCCAGCTTTTTGTTGTTTGGACCAAGCCTAGCACAATGGCGGAGGGGGCAAGTCAAGAGTTGCCATCACGCATAGCTTTAACATGTCCGCTCTCCAGCCAGGGATAACAATGCCAGGATGGAGCTGGAGGCTTCATCTCCTCATTGCTTCAGACTCAGCTGTGCAGCGGTTCCCAACCTTTTCCAGATGGGGACCCATTTTGACTATTCAAGAAGACTTGGTAACCCGGGGCAATGCAAAAAATGTGTGAATGGCTCCGTAAGCCACCTGGGGAGACACCTGGCGACCCTTTTGAAATGTAATGGCGACCCATACTGGGTCCCGACCCATAGGTTGGGAAAGCCTGGCGGTAAGAAACAAAGCAAAGCAGTGGCATGGAGGACAGGGGTGACACAGATTCCAGCTTTCTATGCAGTACAAAAGCAGCGGGCGGGTGATAAGTAGCCATGCCACAGAAATAGAAACCTGCTGAGGCTCAAAAGGCAGGACATAGAAAGAAAACCGTCTGAAAGGGATACCAACCCGATTCCAACTTCTACAATGAGGTAACTGGCTCTGTGGACACGGAGAAGTCGGTGGATGTGATATATCTTGACTTTAGCAAAGCTTGAGATAACGGTCTCCCACAATATTCTTGCCAGCAAGTTAAGCAAGTATGGATTGGATTAATGGACTTTAAGGTGGCTGAAAAGCTGGGTAGATTGTCGGGCTCACCGGGTTGTGATCAATGGCTCGATGTCAGGTTGGTAGTCGGTTTCCAGTGGAGTGTCCCAAGGATCGGTTCTAGGGCTGGTTTTGTGCCACATCTTTATTAACGACCTGGTTGAGGGGATGGATTGCACCTTTAGCAAGTTTGTGGATGATACTGAGCTAAGAGAAGAGGTAGATACATTGGAGGGCAGGGATAGGGTCCAGAGTGACCTAGACAAATTGAAGGATTGGGCCAAAAGAAATCTGAGGAAGTTCAACAAGGACAAGTGCAGAGTCCTGAAATCACCACCCTCCCTGACCCTCTGCTTTTCATCTAATCTTACAATTACTGCTCTTTGGAAGTGGAATTTTGAAAGGGGAGAGTCCTGGCATGGTGCTACCTTTAACCACCTGGCATAAGCGGTCAGCTACCTTCCATCTTCGCCTACCCCAGCTGCTTAACTTTTATCCCTCCTCCTGGCATTGGTGGGAGACAGCACATTTTTGTTATTCATAGGGAACAAGAGCTCTACTGGAGACGGTTCCTAACAGCCTGCTATGCTGGTGCAAACCAAAGAAAATTGGTTTCTGTGACAAGGCCTTTCAAAAGATACAATTTTGCTAGGAAGTAGCACTCTGACATTTTTCAGGCATTGCAGAATAGCTGTCACATTTTCCCCCTTTATATCCTCTGGATTTACCCAACTGCTCAGGTCTTACCTTGGACAGGACAATGGCCAATACCACAGGGAATACATGCAGAGTCCAACTTGGCTGGCTTCCAGCCAACAATCCATCTCTTTGGACCATTCACCGACTATTAGGAACACTCCCTGTAGCTTGGAAATTAAAACAATTCTGCATTTGTAACAAAATGCATCAAAAGAAACACACTCTGGGGCTCTGTGTGAAAAACGACAAAGGCTCCTTGAGCGACAACTGGCTTGTGAGCAGTTGGGCTAAAAGAGGAGCAGCAGTACCTGAGCCACAAGTGGGAACAGAGGTGAGGATGCAAGCAGCCGTGTATTTGTGACTGGCATTAAATACTGCACCAACAAAAGAGATGCTCACAGTTCATCACCAACTCTACTGAACGCACGCGTCTGGGAGTAGGGTTATACCATGGGGGTTTACAGCCAAAGGAAGGAGATACAATCAGACCTGCTAAAATGAAGTGTGTGTGTCTGCATGGTGGAGTCATGGGAAATGAAGCTTATTACCTCTAGGATGCTGGGTCTAATCTAATCCTGGTTAGTAGCAGCTGTGAGTCAGTGGTATGGAGCATCTGTTCAGCAGCCTACGTATGTGAAATGGGTTGGTCTCATGCTGGGAGAAGCAGACGCATCCTTAACACTGCCTCAACTGGCATTTCCAACACGAGCCAGAGGTGAAATGGCTATGGAGACCCGATTCCGTGCCTCACAGGAATGACGCTTGCACTGCTGCTGAATCCCAGGCCATACCTCTATGGTGGAAAGAGGTCTTCCCACTCCAGGGCTGTCCACGTGCCCCTCACTGTTCACCAGCATTACATTTGCTTAAAAAGGTATTATTTCCCCAAGCCTGTTCCCTGATACTTCAGCCTGGCTTGTCTCCCCCTCCCCCACTTCCGCTCCGCCCTCCTGCCCTGGCTCTTGTTGCTCTTTGAAGCATGACAGAAGACTGAACCCATCCCCAGGGCCACTTTGATTTCAGATTTACAGTCCAGCCAAAAAAATCAGCCACTGTCTGTGACGTCCTCAGAGAGAATCGCAGGAGGGGAAGTGTTTATTTCCTTTGTAAAAATGTGCTCTAATATTTTCATATAAATCAAGCTGGGTTTTATGATGCTAATAAATTTGCCAGCAGAAACTTCATTTGCTGCCAGAGGCGGTGGAATGATTCAATTTGTTTAGTTTTAAGCGTAAGGGAATGTAATTGAGAAGGGTAAAGTACAGATGCTTTAATTGAGTTTTCAAAGAACATCTAGAAATGCAGGAGGCTTATACAGAGGGACGGACGAGAGCCTCTGTTATTCCCTGGGCTGTCACAACCACCCCTGCCCTCTTTGTCTGCCACCCACCTACTCATCGTCTGCTGTTACCACAGACTGATTAGATAGTGGAGGCTCCACCAGGAGAAACCATTCCTTACACACACAGGAAGAGGCCAAAACCAAGAGACATGTAGAATGTGCATTTATTTATTTGTATGCCTTTTGGAGAAATAATTACACTCTGGGATAAGCTGCGCACGGTGAGGCTCCAAATAACCCCGTCATAATAGCCATTTCAAAATATAATCTTATTCTTAAAACAGACAGGAGACAAGTTATCATGCCACACCAAGCCAGCAAAACAACGACCCTCACTGCCCGCCGCTGGCTTTGCTTCCAATGAGTTGGGCAGGGACCTAGCTATTTGCTCTAGCTTGATCCATCCCACCCCCCCGTTTTCCTTCAACTTGGGAGGCATTTCTTGTTTCATGTTTTACATGAAAAAAGTCCTCCCTCCCCCTCCCCACTAGTCGTTTCTCCCATGACGAGCTGATTTGTTCACCAAGCAAGAAGGGCAGGTTTTATGGACAGTCTCTGACATCGCTCTTTAAGAGTAGGAAGGAAAGCACTCCTGGGTGGGGTGCCAGGCAATGTGCCCCTTCTGTAATGAGCCAGACATCCCTCCCTATTGAGCTACATCTCAAATCACGGCTGGTTTGTACCTGTTTACAGAGGGGGCTCTCAGAAAGCACCCTAGCACACATTTAAAAGGAAGTTCATCCAGAGGGGCGTTAACCTAAGCCAGAGAAGAAAAGGCACATTGTAACAGAAGTCCGTTAAAAATGATTCTGCCTGTCGGAAGGCAGGCAGCCGGGGAATCTCAGGTGTCCATACGAGGAAGGGTTAGCGGGCGAAAGGGAGGCAGTACTGTGGCTGGTAGTACAAAGAGGATCCCCTGCAATTGTGCTTTGGCAGACACCACAATCAGATCTTTTGGGGCTGGAAGGTGAAATTTCCTGGTGTCGGGAGGGTCGCTGCAGTCACAGATTGTGCTTGCCATGAGGTCATGAACCTAGCAATGCTGTCTCAGTCCCAGTTCCCAGGCGCTGGGCCAGCAGCTTCTGCACATTACATGGAGCTTGATATTTGTTTACCAAGCAGAGCCCTTTCTAGAGAGAGGCTTACCCTCAGAGCCAAGGTCTTCTAGCTGCTCTGCTCCCTGGCCTGGCCAAGGAAGGGCAAGGGAAGGAGCAGAGAAGGAATAAAGGGCTGATTAAAGTTGCCTGTTAGCTCCTGGCCACTTAGGGACGTGGTCTGGTGCTGCCCGTGGGATACAAGGCAAGACAATAAGCTCAGTGTTCTGAAGGAGTGGGAGGGAGTGAGAGACCCGTGAAGTCTCTGTTACCAAAAGGAGCCTGGTGTCATGTAGCATTTTCATTCATTCTAAGGTCTTTCACTGGATCAGTTCTTTGCTGCAAATATGCAAGCCTATCCCCAGCATTGCCTGCTCCTGTGCTGTCCAAGAACCCAGGGTGCTCTGTCCTGGCATCTCCAATCTGTCCCAATCCTGGCTGTCAGACGTAACAGTCACAATGAGCAACAGGAGAAAACTCCAGTGCTAGTCTCAGCAGGGGGCTTCCAGCTCAGCTGTCCTATGGATTTGCCCTCCCAAACGGCATCTGAGCTTTCGTTTTCCCTAACCCACAACAGAGCATTGGGCTTCGCAATTCACTCGCAGCCCACTCAGTAAGATGGCACCCAAGGTAGCACTTGGGGCTGTGCAGGCAGCGGAGAGAGGCAACAATAAAGGCTGCCAAATAGTGTTTGTGATTGGGAGGAGGGGGGAGGTCGGGTGTATTGTGCTGGAACCTACTCCTCTCCACCCAACTGCACAGCTTGGTTTACTCACTGTTCAAGCACATCTTCACATTGCTTAAGGTGGTGAGGTTCTTCCCCCTGCTTTGTAAAGAAAGCTGCTTTTGCACAGCCCCAGCCACCTGAATGCTTCCAGGGCAGGAAGTGCTTCACATCGCGTAGAAACCTGAAACTTGTATTAAAAAGAAAGGCTTGATTTAAGAGAGACTGCCTGCTCAAACTGACCATTGGAGAAAAGTGACATTTAATATAGCCTTAGCACAGGGAGCAGGGTATATAATGCCAGAGATTGGCAGCTGTCTTTGAACGGGGCTTAATCACAGGAGGGAAAATGTTTAAAAATATTCAAGTTAAAAATGTAAGCAGTGAAGTTCTGCCTCCAGGTATTAAGCCTTATTTTATGACCTTTGACCCCGGGTCCTCAGGTTGCTTGAGTAATAAATGTGTCACTTTGCAGTAACAGAGTTAGCAGCCTCTACAGCACAAATTTTAATCAAAGACCATCAGTGTCCAGTAAAATGGACAGTTCTCACGCGAGAAGGGAAATGTTTGCCAGACTGTCAGCTGGGGTAAAGCTGTGCTAAGGGGAATTTTTGGAGGATGATTCTGAAACTCTGTCATGAACAGGAGAGACAAGAAAAATTCTTAACCCTAGGCAGAAGAAGTCAGAAGCAGCATAATAGGGTTTACGGACCATTTCCAGAGTTTCCCCTGTTTTTACACTCTCTGCTTGGACTTCTGAGCTCCATTTCTGAAGTGAGACAAGCACAGTGAGTGGGGTAGTGCTGAGTTCTCTGGCACTACATTCCCCCAAGTTAACACCCAGCTTGTTTCAAGCCTAATTACTCAGAGCAAGAGACTGGAAGCATATCAGTATGCCCAGCAAGCACTCCTGAGGGTTTAAGGCATGTCAGTGACAGGTAATTAGCACCTCCCAACAAGGACACAAGAATCCTGACCGCTGAGGTCAGTCTGCCCTGGTGCACCAGGACTTGTGTGAAACGGAGATCTGCTCTGACAGTTGAGGCCGCTTAGTAGCGCCAAACAGCTAACAAAGTGAGGAAGCAACAGGGATCCAGAGCCATATAGAATGGATTTGTCTTGGGAGGAGAGCTGAGACAATTAGAAAAATGGGATAGAAGCAGAACTCCAGGACCAAGGGCTGGTGTACTCAAACAGGCAAATGAGCTAATTCAGACCCACTGAGTCCATATGTTCTACCCCATAGGCCACACTACAAATAAAACAAAGACCAATGTTTTCTAAAAGGGTAGTAACAGAAATGGAGAAACTGTGAGAAAGCTTTGTAACAGGACCAATCCTAGTAACCACAGACACATCCATTACTTTCTACAGTCCCTTGACCCATCCTCCAGAGATGCCACCAGTTGTCATATCTAGTTAACCAGCTTCCTCACCGTGCACCTGAAATTTTTTTAAACATAACCAAAAGAAAAAAAGAGTCCTTGGTGAGGGATAAGGGATCACTCCAGAAAACTTCTGTTCGATTGTGTTAGCAGCTATAACAGTTCCCTGTCTCTGGCAGAGATGTTTGTCCAGCTCTCATGGGGCACGGATGCAGGCCAGAACAGCCTTCCACGTGCTGAACCCCGCAGCACTGTTTCCACAGCTCCTCCACTTCAAGGCAGAAATGGTCAGACACTGAATAACCATGGAGACCTTCTGAGAGCTCACAACCCTGGCTTTGCATGAGAAGTCTGAGAACCAGAGTCAAAAGGGAGTTGAGCAAGTTACATCAGCACCCAAGGTGAGGAGGGGATAAAAAGTCCTCACATCCAGATCAAACCTGCAAAGAGCAGGTTGTTGGGTTTTTTTGTTTTTACTAAGAGTCTGAAACAGGAGTTGTAACCCTGGAATCTCTCCCAGAGCCCTGCAGGAAGAGGGCTGCTGCCACATTATCAGAGTTTTGTTTCACTCAGGATGATATTTGCAGTCACAAACACAAAGCAGGAAAGACCCCAGAACAGCACAAACCAGATCCAGAAGGTGTGCCGGAAAGGGGACAGGTGTTTATTGACTGTGCCACTGCCGAAGACCAGCTGAGTGTCCTTCCGACTACAGTAGGCCAAGAAAGCTGGGATGATGTATTGGATCCCATTGCCAGCATAGGCTCCTGTGATGCCCACCAGGGACTCCAAATCGTGGGTGCAGACAGCCACCAGCACAGGGGGAATCAAAGTGATCGCTGGAAAGACAATCCTATCCACCACCCATGGGTATGTTCCTCCTTCCCGGTGGAAGAGGGTCTTCCAGTTGTTTCGCAAGGTGACAGCGATGATCGGGAAGTTGGTGCTGATCGTAAAGACAGGAAACAGGCCCAGGAAGTAGCGAATGAAGGCGACATTAATGATATCACAGTTGGTGAAATTGAGCGTGTACATGTCCATGAGGGTCTCGTTGCGGAAGCAGTAGATGGCTGTGAAGGACAGAAGGCTGTAGAAACCCAATATTAAGATGTAATCCAGCAACACCAGCTTGTTCACATGCTGCTTCTTGGAGATTGGAGTAATGAGGGAGGGCAGCGAGTGCTGGCACATGAAGGAGTAGACACACACCCCAAAGAGGTTGCGGATCCCCGACAGCTGTGCCAGAGGTGGGTGACCTTCCCCTTCGCCCTTGCCAATGCGGATAAGGGCCAAAATAATCATGATGACAAAAGCTGTAAAACAAGTGAGAGAGAGCGAGAGAATAAGACAAGTCATACCAGCATACAGACTCCCAAACACGGCTTTCCTCTCTCCTAGCAGCACAATCTCTGCATTAGATCTCACCATATGTCTACAGCTCAAGAGATAAGGAAAACCACTGCCCTATGGAGAATGACACACTGCATATCAAGGAGGAATGTACAAGGGAGTTATCACTTTATTGGCTTTCAGCATGAGGCTGTACATCAGAGAGAATTCAGATGGGAACAGCCTTGTGACTTGGTCTTTAGCAAGTGTATCTAACCGTCACCCTCTCCCAGGGCTCCCTCTCAGGAAACGGGAACTCTGCACTCTGCAATGTCTAACACTGCTGTCATTCACTTCAGGGTCTCTTCCTATCCACCTTGCCAAGGGATGCGACACCTTCTAAACACCCCCACCTATGGAGTTAGCCTACAGGGTATTGGAAAGAGATTACTTTGTGCAGAAGGCAAGATCCTAACCCTAGCCACAGACAGGATGCCACACGTGACTTGCTAGTTGAGGACCTTGAAGCATTAGCCTACGGCAAAGGGAACCTTTTTTGGGGCAGGGACTGCATACCCACAGAAAAACCAATCGGGGGGGGGAGGGGAGGAGGCGGTGGGAGAGTGAGGGAGAGAGAAAAAAGGAAAGCTCGATAACATGGCCCGCAAATGAGGAGAAAGACACTCCCCACATTCCCATCGCACACCAGAGCCTAGTGGGGCCCAGGCTAGTAGATTTTGTGTGCTCCAGCCCTGCAGTAGGGTGACAGGGGGCTTGACTACAAGCGCGGGCTCCCCAATTCTAAGGTGGGGACCCCTGAACCTTGGGGGCTAGCTCCAGGCAAGCCAGGGGCCATATCTGGCCCCAGGGTCTTAAGTTCCCCACCCCCGCTTACGGGGTATGTTGGGGATAGCAACTGTGTGTTATCCTATCACATAGGGAGGTGGATGGAACAACAGCCAGCACTGGCTATTTCTTGGGCAGGAAGAACAGGCTGTCTCCTGCTAATCCCAGAGGGGGGAGAGAAACTAAAGCTGTGTAGAAAGCAGCACTGAAAAAATGCTATTAAAATTCATCTGTTCGAGGCATTAAATCCACCTGCCTGCCCTTTACCCTGGTAATGGGAAAAACCCAACTAACAATATTTTACTGGCTTGTCAAAACAAAGTACTTGCTCTGGAAAAGAAGAAATATGAATGGATGGGTTAAAATCAAGGCAGGAAATGAAGCCAAAATCACATTTTAGTAGGAGAACCCAGGCCAGAAGCAGTTAGCCACCCACAAGGAATAGCAGCCTGGCAATAGGCACAGTAAGAACCACATCCACATTATGGCAGTCCTGGCAGGCCTGGGAAAGCTGGTCACTGGCTGGCTTATGGAAGGGTGAAAAACTCTGCCTGCTTGACAGGGAACGACAGTATTTACAATCTGAAATGGGGAACGACTGGGAAGACTGGATTGCCCTGGCTCTTGTACAGCTGTCTCCTGTGTTGGTTGAGAGGCCCAAGCACAGGAATGAGTTCCCAGGTAATAAAAATCTAAAATAAAATGCTGACATTCCTATCAGACAGTTTTGAATGTCTCACATAACCCAGCAGACAAACATCAGCAGCAAGTCTCCATGCGGAGCATCCCATAGCAGACAGGCCATCTGGGTGCCTGCTGTAGGGGAACAGAGATGTTCATTTGTCAGCAATTGTAACCCTCCTATACCTGGAGAGTGGTAGTGACCCTTTGGTGGGAGTGCACCCTAAGGAAATAGGTGATATTTACGGAATTAAGTTACAAGCACTCTGCTTCATCCAGTGCCTAGAAGAGACCAGACAAATTTCATCCAAAGCTTCCACTGATACAGATGTGCAAGGTCTTTCCTCTTAAGCCAGGGGCAATTGTACTTCCCAGCATGCAACACTGCCTTGGCACTAAGTGTGCCAGTAACTGGGCCCAACACCCCAAAACATCCTTTTACCCATTTCACTCTGACACACACCCTACTGCACAGAGCCTCATGCAATAGATGACGATGACTCCTAACCTCATTGGGTGCACATCATCCACTACAGCCCACAGCGTAAGCAGCTGCCCACACTCATCCCCCTAACCTTTTGCCCACCAACTCCACCTATGAGCTTACAGCACACTCCCTTTCATGCTCAGTGTTCCCTTTGAATTGCCCTCCAGCAGACTCCATGACATTTCAATTGGCCCCTCAGCTCATGTGACCAATAAAATGCTCACTGCAATCTCCTTCAGGTTTCCCATTCCCTAGTGAAAGAGCACAACAGTGGCTGATCATTTTGCAAGCCATTTAGAATATAAACTGACCATTACACCAGACCTATTATACAGAGGTATTACTAGAGCAAGGCCACACTGGAATAATATCAGGCACATCCCTGACACTGGACACAGTGGAGTCAGCTGGGAGGATTCAGACAGCTCCTCTTCTCTGGGTATTTACTCACTTTCTTCCACTCTAATCTGAGCCATGGAAAGAGGTGCATTTCAAACCCAAAGGCAATCATCGCAGGAAGTGACTTTCTAGGTCTCTGGCAACACATTCCCGCTCCCCAAATCAGCACTGCCAGAAAGTCTGCTTTCTAGCAAAAGCAGAAAGCCCTTCGTGTTACCCAGAGCCTGTGTCGGACACTGCATGTACTCATCAGGGCTGTGAGCATGGACAGGCTGACAGGAACAGGAAAAGAAAAGCAACACAGGAGAGGAAGAGACAATGCTAGAGAACAAATGAGCAAGATCGGTCACACTGCTTGGGAAATGCAAGTAGAAGACATTTATTTCTCTCTTTGGGGAGACGTGTTAGACTCATGAAGCCCAGTCTTGTATCTTTGTCAGATCTTAACTATTTTTAACTGTAAGGGTCCTGCCCCTCTCTCCCTGCTGAAGAGAGAGAATCTCTTCCATCTCTGCTCAGTCAAGGGCTGACCTATCAGCTCTCATTCAACACTGCACAGTGGGATTAGCTGAACTCCTTAGTGAGCCTCCCAGTGTGCACCCCTTTTCAGAGTCTTTGTACGGCAGAATGGCAGCCCTAGTCAGCTGCTCTGCGAGGACGGAAGCACCAGGGGCTTTATTCACACAGAACTCCAGAAGAAGAGCCTTGCAGGCTACCTTCTGTTTCCAGCTCACGCCCTTACACAGGAGAACAGTGCAGGATCATATTTCCATTTCACAACCTGTCAGAGTCAATGTCCCCCCGCCACACTGCATGCCTGTTACGCAGATGGGACCACATGAGTCCTGGCACAGCTTTCTACACAGGTGACTGAGCTGTGGAAGGAGGCTGGAAGGCTGCTTCCAATTCAGAGAAAAAAACCCACTTTCCATCTTGCTTCTAGAGCATTAAGATTTTTTGGATTAGAATAAACACTGCTTGAGGCAGAACGTGAGTTGATTCCCCACTTTTTTAGGGTCTAGTGTACAGGCCCCACTCATGTTCTGCATGTCAGTCTGCTCCAGCGATTCTACTGTTCAACCCACAGTTCTTGGCATGACCAGGAGAAACTGGTGAATTCCTTTATAAGGAAGCCATGCTTTGCTATGCAGGGAAGACTAGGGCCTGATCTAAAACACGGCCAATGAAAGAGCCCTCCACTGACTTCAATGGGCTTTGGGATCAGGCCCCTAATGGAGAATGATGTGGTTTCCCAGCACAAGGCCTCCCGCAGTAGAGGCTGCAGAATATGCTAGAACTACTGGTGCGACAATTCTAAAGGATTCGGAGGCTCTCAGGTAGAAGGCTGCAGGGAAGAGCAAGCTATTATGGTCTATAGAAAATCTGTATTGCCAGAATGAATTTTCTTCCTGACATGAGCTTCCCAGTGAAGCAAGTCTAACAAGACAGGTTCAAATTATAGCAACAGCGTGTCAAACCAGCAATGCTAATGCTCTGCAAGGAGCTCTCCAACGGAATGTTCCCCTATCTTGGTACTGGTGACATGCAGGAGTGCCATCCTTTGCTATCCTTTCCAGTAGTGCAGAGTGCTCATCTCACGTCCTTTGAGGGGATTGGGATGGCTGGGTGAATTGGAAGACTCCTCTACTGAAGTCCCGACCACGGATAGATCTCTGTAGCAATGCCTCCCCCAGCAGCTGTATTTTCTCTGTCTTTGGGTGGAACAGTATCCACCCAGTATCTCTGGTCTTACCTGCTGGAATTTCATATCCTAGATTTATCTACCTGTCCCTGGGAGGAAGCAAGACCCAAATGAAACACTCTGAAAGTAGTTATGCTCAATGATAAATCAAGCTGAAAAGAGGATGACAGCTTCTGACTGACAAGCAGCCTCACCTCGAGTTGATAAGAAGAGGGGTGAAAGCAAAGCCAAACTATTCCATTAAAGTAGCCTACAGCTCCAGCACTAACATTTCCATAGTGCTCCTACACCAGGTGGTTAGCAGAGAGAAAATGTGTGAAGATTGCTCATGTGTAAGGAATAGGTTTGGGCAGGAGGGACTGAAATATGAAGCAGGGATGGAAGAGACCTTCAAACACCATTTCAGAAAGACAAGAGCCAGAGAAACATAGTTACATAGTTAGCAGTAATCAAAGAAACAAAATGGTTGTTAACAGAAATCTAGTACAGCTTCTCCAATCAGCACAGACTGGGTTTATTTTTCTGAGAACTGCTCTTATCAAGCCACGTTCTAGCTTATAGCAGGAGTGGGCAAAAGGACCTCCACAGGCCAAATCCAGCCCTCCTAGTGGGTTGATCCCCCCATCCCCAAGCCAATCAGGGTCTGGAGGCAGGGGGAAAGCGCTCAGTCTCTTCCTGCCCTACAAGGAGTGCACAGCACTTAGAAGCGTTGTGCGCTCCTGGCAGGGCGGGAGGAGACTTCACACGCTCTCCCCGCCCCCAAGCCTTGATTGGTCTGGGAACAGGGTGGAGGAGTGTGTGAAGTCTCCTCCTGCCCTGTGAGGGGAGCAGTGCTTTTAAGCACCGGACACTCCTTGCAAGACGGGGGG